CGAAGGAACATCGATAACGAAGCAAAGAAATATTTAATTAATAATTTTATGAAAAATTATTTTTAATATCTCTCGTTCATTATGTGATATTTATTTGCGATCGCTCGCACTCTTGTTTGTTCAGTCTGGACGCGGCTCTGAATAATACGCCGAAAGATACGTAAATAGATATATGTATATTACATTTTCGTTTAAATCCGCAGAACTTAATAAGTGAGACCCGGACCGGCGAGTTCCATCTATTTCTGTGGAATAGAACTGACTTTTGGACCGGTGTTATTGCGGCGCATTGTACATGTGCGCGAGCAGAACGAGAATGCACGGCAAACAAACCCTCGTATCGTATAATGAGCAGCGTCGAGAACAACGTCGAGCAGCACGTCCCATTCTCTTTTTCTCTCATCTCTCCCTCTCTCCTTCTCTGACTCGCCTTCGCCAACATACGCCAACCGTGAAAAGCGAAAAAGAGACAACGGAGAACGAGCGAAATAGAAGGAAGAACGGGGAAGCGACGAGAGGGGGAGGAGGGGGTTGGTTGGTCCTTTATAAAACGCGTTCAGCAATTACTATTGCGACAAGCGTAATGCGCGTCCAGATCCACCTCCATGCCATTTAAATCACCGGACGATGCTCAAAAGGCAAACGGACAAGGTACGAGGTAAAAGAGAAGCGGAGGGAGAGAGGAAGAGGGACGGTGAACCTTTTAACGAGGGGCAAAGTAGGACGAAGCGCGCAAACGCGATCGAACGCGATACGATTTATCGCGCCGCAGCGAAGCAAACGCATCGGCAAGTATAATAGAGTCGTTTACGCGAAACCCTTTCTTGTTATTTCGCACTTATCGGCTGAATATCTTCGAGATAAACCGGCACTATTCATCTCGTTATGTCATTATCGACATGCATGTAAGGTAATTTGCGACTAATAGACTTGTCCCACAAATTCCCGGATATAGAATTATCGATTATTATCCTATCGTGATTCGATATAATATCGGGAGATCAACAGTGCGTGAAAATAAAATAATATATATCCTGCATGTCGATTATTAATAATGTTCTAAAAGTGGCCGACTCGATAATTATTTTTTTTTCATTATCCGGAATCTTAACGAAAAATATAAGAGAATAAAAAGAAATACACAAAATTGCGATAGCAGACGCGATGAGAAGTAAAAGTCGAAGTAAACGTCCAACTTTCTTCGTTAACGTTAGACAAATTGATGAGGCAAGATAAGGAGCCAGATAACTCGCGCAGACTCGAAAGACAAGATGAATAAGACAAATAAAACGATGAGATAGCGTTAGCGAAGATATCGACGGCTGATTTAAACTCGTACTTCTGTACAAGTGACGAATCAACACTTTATTCGGCGTTCCGTAATGTTCTTCCTACCGTTTTATCCTAACATTTACCGAAACTTTGCAACTGTCCCGAGAACTGTTAAAAGGAAATCGAGAAGGGTCGAGAAAGCTTACTAGAAAGAGGGTTAGAAAGAATACGAAAAGGATAACCACGATTTTCCACAAGGGTCGGAATTAGTATCTTTATGGCCCAGCAAACGTATCGATTTTATGAGAGGAAATAATAAATGTTTTAAGGACTCTTTTATGATAAACGTACCACGCGTTGAAGAAAATTTCGAGTAATCATTTTTGAAACAAATATTTGTAACTTCGAAAGATTATTTATCGAGAAAGTGAATTTAAAAGCCATTTTCTACTAAAGGTGTTTGTGGAAAGTTTCAGAGTTTTACAAAATCTTGTCATTTATTATGATTAGATTCGACTAACAGTCATTGCAGCAATAGCGCGTTTCCGTTATAACTGCAGCACTCGTACAAACGAAGCCGACGACCGTTTGTCGCAACGCGTTTAAAAGCGAATGCATGGCAATTAGACGGACAGGTCGTAAACGTGTACCGCACGACCGTGTCATTCACCGACTTACCTGCGTCCTCGTTAAGCTCGCAGACGGGTTAATGATTCAACAGGTGTTGCGCGTCGGGGACGAGCAAGTTTGACGGCGGCACAGCGCGTTTTTTTGTTAGAAACAAACACATTGAAAAGACCGGGAGACGTACTCGATTCGAAAACGGTCGTCGGTCCGGCGAATGTTCCGAAAGGCCTCTCAATGGCCGAAGAGTCTTTTCACGAAGCTGAGCAGACACGAATTCCTCCTCGAGGCACTATAAATTTTTTGGCCGTCTCTCAAAACACTCGGAATTAGACAGTGAGGGAATAGCTATTCTAAATGCTCACTCGAACTTATGGAATGTTATTTTTTCGAGGGAAAAAAATAATTGTCAATAGGTGCAGCAAATAGCAGCAATCCTAAAGTATCCCAATAGTATTTACTAGATAATGTGAAAAATCGTAAATACAATATTTATAAGAAAATTAATATTCAAAAAGAATATATTTATTTTTTTCTGTATATGCTTTCGAATTATTAAAAAAATAATTTCCAGATTAAGCATATGAGAGACAGCCTTCCCTAAGATTTTTTCTTCTGGCGATACGATTTACCTCTTTAATCTTATATCTTCAATTTCACATTCACATTTATTTATTGTTCTTGGATTTTGCTTTTGTCTCGAATCTAAAACCGAATAAACGCAGCTACAAAGCAAATGGTAAGATGCGGCAGCAAATTAAAGTTGAAACATGTGTCCGTGTATGTTGCAGCACCTAACATGTCCTTTTTAATGCTCGTGTATCCGAGAGATGCAGGATAATTTAAATTCAATGTGCCGGTGCTAGCTCGCAAATCGTACCTCTCTCTCTCTCTCCTTCCCCCCTTCCCACCCTCTTTTCATCGCTCGCCCAGTGCAACCGTTGTGGATACATTGCTTCGCGGCACGATGCATAGCGCGGTTCTCGCACGTAACTGAAAGATATATGGATTTGTTATTTATTTATTCTCGGTCCCGACTTCTCTCGCGTGCACAACCACCATGCGTGCGCGCTCCTTCTCCCCATCGTTCTCCCCATCTCTCTCCGATATCTGGAATTCACTCGAACGATTGCCGACCGCACGTTATAAATATTACGCACGAAACGCACAATGAGTTTCTAATGAGTTTCATTTAATTTCGATCAGATCGAGGCTGTTATTATTAATAATCGGCCATTAAACCTCGTGATTAATTCGTCCGAGTATCGATTATGCATGATAGCGCGACGCACGAGAACGACAAACGGAATTGCGACGTTACGTGACGTTAATAAGCGACGCTAATAAGCATTAATTGGCATTAATGGACTGAAAGAACGATGTGCATTCCGAAAGATTAATGTTTCGATTTTGAATTCCAATGTAATGTTACAACGCGTTTACAAAAATGTTTCTCTAATGAATAATTCAGTAAGGTTTTCCGGGCTTCGTCGCACCTAGTTATCTCACGTCGCGTTGAATGATCACCGTAGCAAAAACTCACGCGTCCTTCCTTGCGCGTGCGCAAATAAATCGACGTAAAAGAATTGCTCTCAAGTTCACGCGTAGATTCCGCGAAAAAAAATCGTAGCGCGCGGAGGGTAGGGAAGAAAAGGAGTACCTTTTGTTCGTTTATTTGCGAAAACCGCTCGTGTACACAATGCGCCCGCATCAAGTATATCGCATATACACCCACGTAACCGCGCTGTATTTACTTTCCACTTTCATTCGCGTGACATTCAAAGTTCAACGCGAATTAAATACAGTTTAAGCCATCCACAATCGGGGGCAAGAAATTAACCCACAAGTGGTCTACCTTACAATCCATATAATATCATGTGATTGTCATTAATAACTGACGAATCATAACAATGCGATAGCTTCAAATTAAAATTTCTTCTTATGATAACAATATTTACGTGAGAAATGTATAAATTTCTAATATTAAATATTTTTATGAAAAAATAAATATATGAAACCTTACATTTTTTAATTAAATAGATAATGTATAATTATAAATGTATTTATTTATATTTCATTATTAATATATAATTATGATTATAATTTGATTAAATGAAATATAAGTAAGTACATTTAAATATATATGTAATCTTATTTTGATATCTAGATTCTAAGAAATGTTTAGAATCTTTCAAAGATATTTTTAAGTCGGAATGTTCAACACGATTGAAAGTAGAATTGAATATATTCACTGCAGAAACAATCCACACAATGCTTACTATTTAACTTGAACAAAATGAATTTTTTTTTAAATGATCCTTTTTCAATTCTTTTCAGTTTTTTTTACAATGACACTTTTCTTCAATCACACATCTTCTAAACTAGCATAAAAATCACGAATAGCAATGATCATACTTTTCATACTTTTGCTTTATGTTCCAACATGATGCTGAATTGAGCCGACTTGCGCATTGCGGCATACTAATCGCGCGAGAGAGCAAATTATCAATGGAGCCTGCACGAAAGTGTGTTAAACGATTGCGCAAAGTGCAAATCATGCCGTTCGCGCAGTCATGGAGCCGTTTCCGATCGCATTCAATCAGTAACAAGGTCATTGGCGCGAGACAAGCGTAATTGCGTCAAGCTGTTGCGAGCTTGGATTTTTTTAACACGGTTCAAACTCGAACGCATGATACGGGCACGAGCAGCAAATATCGTATGAAACCTAGACGGGACGAATTAACGTTCCGGCCACATTAACGTCGCTAAGCGGAAATTAATCGTCGTGTGTCAGTAAAACGCGACGCAGCGGACAGAGTTATGCAAATAAGCTGATGCGCGTATAACCGGAGCTAATCCGTCAAGTTAAACGCGAAACTCCCGGTTGTCGCTAAAACTAGATGTCGAAATAAAAAACGTGGCAGAAAACACGTTAATATTTATGCGAGAAGAAAAAATTAAATTACGTATTAAAGTACGAGCATATTCAATAGACAGTATAATCGTACACAATTGCTTATATTAGCTGATGCGGTCTTATTTGAATATTGATACGTTTTTTCTATTGTTTATCGGCATTTATGTAATCGCATTTGTTTACTCACATGTAAATTCCCATTCGATCCTTATCCTCGAGATCCTTCTATTCTCCGGGTGACGTGATGTGAAAGATCGTTCCGGTTATTACCAGGTCAATTCTGGCTTTCCTTGACTCTTGATTACTTTGAGGTAGGACTCCGCCAAGCTGGAAATAAAGAAAACGTATACTTTTAGAAAAGAGTTCACATCCCACGATCGCGTAATTCGTGTATTAACGACAGTTATCTTTATCGCGATACTCCGAGCCAAGACAAACTTTGCCAAACGGAAATATTAGAAGACGAAAAAGATTCCCGTCCTCTCGAAACATCAATTGGTCGGTCAAATTCTCGTTTGTTTTTCGCGATAACGACGAAAATATACGCATAAAAATTACGAAAAAACATGTAAGGAATTAATTCAGAAGTGCGTAACAAAAAAGGAGAAAATAATTTCTAAATGACAATTTATATAATTATGAGATCGCAACATTATACTTTCTTATATATAAAATTTCAATAACAATTTTATAAATTCATAACTTTAGAATTTCCCAGAAAATTTTATTATATTTTTTTATGCAAATGTATATTATTGCTAACTAAAAGCTGTTTAGTCATTATAATTTTTTATTATCTATAATTTTTTTTACCTTTAAACAATTAGCTTGTACTGTTATCGTTAATTTTCAAAATATTTTAATTATTCGCAATGTCGCTGATATGAATTAACAGCGAAATTAATGCAAATCGCGGCGCACTTTTTTTTGTATTATCGAAGAAATTAAGAAATTTGAAAAATATTTACAAAGAGATACGGTCGTTGATCACATCCGAACCAGCAACGGACGATCGATTTATTACGAATTTACATCGCAAACAACCGCGGAACAAAAAGAATTGGACGAGTCCAACGCAGGAGAGATTCGTCGTTTCCCCCCTTCCTGCTGGAAGGGAAGGAGAGTATAAAGCGATAAGGGGCTAATATAAGTGAAAATCCCGGTGTTAATATGTGGCGCGGAGAGCCGAGCAAGAAGAAACTTAATGGCCGGCCAACACGCGATCCCCTTTCCGATTTTTTTCCCTTTATTTTCTCCTTTTTCTCCCGGTCTCTCTACGTCTGCTTCGCGCTCTACCTCCCTTCCCCTCCTCCCGTTTTCACCCAGTTACCGTGATCCACCGCGTTCGAAATTCATAAGCGTAGAAAATGAACAGCGAGAATGGCGGAATAAAAGTGCCTGGACATGCTCGGAATATATGAAACAATGCCAGGTGCTTTTTACATACACTATATATATATATTTACACACATGAATACACAATGCGTTTCTCAATCAAAATCAAATTTAAATGTGCCCCTATTATTATAACAAAGATATTAATAATAAAGATTACTATCAGATAACTCTCACTAGGGGAGAAGAGAATCGAAGCTTTGTCAATCATATAGCATTTCTATTAATTTCACAAAAGTACATTTGCCGCCACGAAGCAAATTAATTAAAGCGCACGATGTACAATATATCGCATATTTTGCATAATATACTTTACGCGTTTCTTGATTATTCGTCCCGCGCAAATTTCGCTCGCAAGTCTGTCGACTCGCAGTTTTAGAACAAAGTTGCGAATTACTCTTCGCGTCTCTCTCCCTCTTGCTCCCTCGGATGGTAGTAGCTAGTTTATATTGCGGGCTCCATTCTCGCGATCGTAGTCGGCCGGCCGGCCAGCGGGGGCGGCCACGCCTCGATTTCATTCACGCCAGCAAACGCTCAATTATTCATGCGGAATCTACCCGCTTGCCTTCTCTTACGCGATTGGATTTAAGTCGCGGAAAGGCGGAAAACGACGTGACGCCGTACAATCGCGCGGAAATGAATATCTCGTCGAATGACATCTCGTCGAATCGGAATCAGTCTTTCGCATCTTTAACTTGTAAAAAAAAGGCAAAATTAAAGAATAAATTTGATAATATAAAAATATAAAAGTGGTTGTAAGATAACAATCAAATTGAAAAGAGGAAAAGAGGCAAAAAAACCACAGCGTTAGGTTAATGATAGCTACAATTAAAAGAAAATTTTAATATAAAATAAGTCAACACATATTCATATAAAGATAATCAGTTGACGCAATAAATTTGATATACACAGCAGATATAAAACGTCGTCAGTATATTTTCTAATGCAAATTTTGTTGGATATCGAATAAATATTTACAAGAAAGAGAGAAGGGTACAAAATATTACTTTCGAGATCACTGAATATCGAAGAACTAAATGATCGCGATAAAGCCGGATGCTTCGAGTAATCGCAGGTCTTTCTCCTCTTGTCTCTTTCTCGCTCCGAGCACGGAAAGGAAAGCCGAGCACGCCGCTGCACCGATATCGTTTCAGCGCCGTGAAACTAGGACGGGGTTTTACGGACGGTTATTTACGATCGAGGTTATGAGAAAGGCGGGGGCCGCACTGCCTCCTCCTCGATCCGCTCCTCCGCGAAATCTGCGAAAGGGCCACGCCGCCCGACGAATGCAAATTACGCGAATTACGTTGCCTGCAACTCGGATCGGATAATAATCGAAGCGCTCGCACCCGACTCGACTGCTTTTAACGCGGTATCACGTCTGGAGAAAACGCACAAACTGAATCACTGAAAGCAAATCAGATCTCGTATAAAGTAATGTAATCTATAATAATATATCGAGCTAAATACGTGAAGCGAGATGGCATGTATCGCGTGTAATGTTAAGTAAGGATTCGATGGAAATGGAATCGCGCGTCCGGTGCAGAAAACTGATGGATAATGCAATCGTTGATTCGCGGTTTACACGACACGCCCCGGAGATATTGCAAACAAAATGCATCGGTTTGATTACCGCATCGACCAAATTGGTGGAAATGTCGGACGGCTTGACGGCAACGCGAATGCGTCCATCGGCGCATGTCAAATCTGAATCGCGTACAACTATCAGAGATATAACGATGCGTAACAACGTGCAGTGCAATAATCAATTCGAACATTCCAACAATAGCGAACGGGGACAGCTTACATGTAGCATGCGTTCAAAAATCGTCGTTAAATTAAAGTATTTATGTACAATATATATATATATATATATATATATATATATATATATAATAAAAAAAAGCCTTTCTATTGTCTCGATTTTTATAATGACTTTTTAATAACATCGTAAATAATACTCCGGATCGCTATTCGCGAATCGAAATCGCTTTTATTCTGACATATAGACGAATCGGAATGTATTCGTTCGAGATGCAACGAGCGAAGCGAGGCAGTCGATTGTCTAGCGATTCACGCAACCGGGTCAGCGACCTCGTAATCTTCAAGAAGTTCAAGGTCGCGACAGACGATCGCGACGAGTAGTAATGCATTCCATTGTGGTTCAGATGAGTCCGCGGCGATTCTAACGGAAATGACGGATGGTGAAAGTGAGGCTCGTCGCTCGACATCGGAAATCGATTTGACGAGATCGCGTCCAGATTACGTGACGAATGGCGGCCGGTTGAGATCAATCTCCTTGTCCGGCAAAAAAAACTCAATGATCGTGCCGTACAATTAAATCGCGTTAATGCCGCTCTATTATCGTATTAAATTAATCGAACGCGAAATACATTAAAATGTATTAATAATAAAAGATGGTACGCAAATTTAATGATTCAAATTTCAACAATAATACAACTGTCGAATTTAGAATCGTGCTACAAATGACTTTTCTCGAATTAAATTATCGAGACGCAGATATATATAAGTATCAATGACACGAATGAATAGCAAGTTTTGACGTGTATAAATAAATAAAACAATCGCAAATTTGAGACACACGCGTAATAACAGTGGGAGCGTATAATTATCATGTAACCGTTATAGTAGAACGCGTAAACAATAATACAAGTGCATGCTGATAATCACCAAGCGCGAGACGCAAAAATCCGCCAGCAGCGGACGTATTTTCCCGTTCGAAATCCGATTGTTTCGAGAGCACGAGCGAGGGAGAGAGAAGGCGCGACAGAGGAGAGACTGGATTCAACGCGGTCGGTTGCAGCAACGCGAAAAAAAAAATGCGATGGACGGACGATGAAGAGAAAAGAGCGCCGGCTGCTGTGTAATCTCCGAAGCCGGGCGTTGTCGGCTGGCGTTGAGCCAACGCCAGCATCCGCTCCACAAATGTCGCTAAATATACACCTAACCGCTTCTAAACACAGAGCGCGAAAGTTGGCCGATAGTACGCGAATTGTACGATCGCACGCCTGTGTCCCGATGGGAATCGGCAGATGAGACGATCGTAGGAACGCGCGAGGTGAGCTCTGCATTATGCATTCGATAGAACCGACCGACTTCCCGACACGCGATCCAATTTTTATCTCGTCTACAAACTGTACATAATTAAAATAACAGCTATATTTTATAGCATTTAAACAACGTGAGATTTTAGCGAAATAAATAAAGAGCCCGAATCAATGTGCGAGACAATATAAATAAATAATAAATCAATCGGTTATTTTAACTCCAGACGAAAGTCTCTCAGAAAAACAAGCAACGTGAATCCAGGAGACGCTGAAAAATATTTGAACAAATGTAGATAGCGGAGAAAATGTCGAAAGCGCGAGACATAAAGGATGGTTTATGATATAAGAGGAAGAGGCGCGAGCCGCAGGCTGACCGTAATAACACGCCTTCGTAAATAACAACCACGATAAAGTGACGAAAGATAATCGGTCATCGTTATCGTCGGCCGATAACTTCAGCCGGTGTCACCACCGGCAAACATATATACATATGACACACGCACACACGCGCGCGCACATTTACGAATACACATATGCAATCCCGCCCGCGCGCGTCGACCTGCTATTGATTCAAGACTCGCGCGACGTGATTCCCGTTTGCGACGAGTCTCTTCTGTCGTATAGGTCAATTGACCTGTCTGTATATATATATCGAGATGGCTTCTGAATATACCGAATATGATTGTGTATGAGAGGAAATTTAACGGACAAACAACTAAGGAAAAAAGTGTAAATCAATCGACATCAGTTAGAAATAAAAGAGTTCATTAAAGAAGTTTGTGTTGTCTCTCATTCTTATCGGATATATAATCTTTACATTAGAAAAATAAAAACCACAATAAATGGAGAACGTTCTATTGTGCC